GCCTTGCTAAGGCCAGTGCCTGACAACTGGACCTGATTCCTGGAGAAAGCTTCATCTGCAAAGATGCCCCTTAAGGCTGAGGCAAGGTAGGGAGTTGCCACAGGAAAATGCCACCATTTTCAGTGTGGACGGGGCCCATGCCCAGGGAGCTCTGCCCACGCCACACCCTATGTATACACATCTCTTTTACTTGACTATAGCTAGGTAAACTGAAAACAATGTGAAAATTGTATTCATGGGTTCTGTGAGCTGTTCCAATAAAATGCTGAACTGAAAAATCCTGGGAAGGCCTGATTTGTCTCCTGTCAATTACAAGTGCACTTGGTGTCTGTGGTGTGGTCGTAAGGCCTGTGAACCCAAGTCTGGAAGCCAGAATGTAGTGCTGATTGCCCGTGGTTAGGGTCAGCCTTGAACTAAAAGGAAGGCACCCAGTAGGTGACACCAAATTGGAGAATTGGCTGTTGGTGTGCATAAAAAAAATCCAAAATGAAGGCACATGTTCAGTGTCCAGAGTGCAAATGCTCCTGATGCAGCTGGGCAGGCAGGGCCTGGGTCTTGCCCTGTCCTTGGTCCTGCAGGATGTTTGTGCAGCTTCAGTGCAGGGAAGACTGTACTCTGCAGGCTATGGACAGGGGCTGCTGCCGAGTCAGTGTTGCAAAAGACTGTGACTGTGATACACAGGACGGGGTTTGAAAACGCTGCGGGAAAGTATGCGAGGTCGGAGCCCTCCACACAGCTTCACCAGCCAGGCGCCAGTCCTCACTCTGATCCAGCTGAGAGCAGACATAGGCTGGGAGGGCGTGTCCTCTTAGCACAGACACGGAGCCTTGTCGAGGCTGAGATAAAGATGAGGAAGAGATGATCTGAGCCCGGGGAAGTGAGAGGGAAGGTTTCTGAACGCCCTGGAAATCACAGGTGCTCAATTCTTTAGAGTGTGGACTTAGTGCTCTTGAGTTCTTAAGAATTCTGCACAGGAGGTGTGGGGATGCAGGCAAAGATTTCCCTCGTAATTCAGAACCCACAGGGAGCCGTTAAGCAGGACACATTGCAAGGTATGAAGATAGGACTACACCCAATCCCAGAACAGTGTTAAAAAGAAGTCTCCAGGGCTGGAGAGGTGGCTCAGCGGTTAAGAGCACTGACTGCTCTTGCAGAGGACCTGGGTTCCATTCCCAGCACCCACATGGTGGCTATGAACCGTCCTTAACTCCAGTTCCAGGGGAATCCGAAGCCCTCTTCTGACCTCTGCGGCATTGCACGACACAGGTGCACTCACATACATGCAGGCAGTACACATAAAATTAAAATAATAATAAATAAAATATTTAAAAAGAAGTCTCCATGTCTCTGGTCTTCATCTGATATGAGGACATTAAGTAATGTCCCAGCTGGGATACACTGTGAGAAGGCTCTGATTGAGCTGGTTCCAGTCATCCTAAGAATGGGTGTGTTGTGGCTCACCAAGCCACTTCTCCAAAAGAGAAAAGGGCCACACATAGGACCCAAGCACCTAAGGGGTCCTGGTCCTACTTACCCTCCTGGGAGCTCAGAAAGATCACACTCATACACACATACTCACACAAACATACATGCACATGCACACACATAGGCATAGACACACAAGCATGCTCCCTTAGATGGGCACAGGTTGGGAATGGCTAAGAGCCACGAAGGGCTCTGAAGTCACTACCCAACCCTTCTGACATCTACAGCTCATGGCCAGCAGAGGGCCAGCATTCTGCGTAGTAGATGAAGAACAAAAGATATGTCCACCTGCCTGGCCAGTCCACTGAACCTCAGAGAACAGCAGCCAGTCACTGCACTATGGATAATCCTTTCTTCATTCAATCAAGAAAATACAAAAGCAAAGAACTACGGGGAAAACTGTTGTAACAAAACAAGATTCTGTGAGTCTGAGCGTGCGTGTGTGTGTGTGTGTCTGTCTGTCTGTCTGTCTGTGTGCGTGCGTGCATGCACCTAGCTTCCTTCCCACTTGTCTTGGGCGGACAACAAGCTTTTGAGGGTGCCAGGGTGAAGTCCTGGCCCAGCCCTCCTGCAGGGGGGAGGACGGGGAGGGGCAGCCTCGTTTTTGCTGCTTGTGCACTTCCAAGCCATTTTCGACTTTCCAGTGAGCATGTACTACTTCCTGTAATTGTATTAAAACATACACAAAGTAATCACTCCCTTTCAAAGGCTAGCTTCCTGGCAACAAATCAAGACCTTTAAAAGGACTTCTCCTTTTTCCCAAGCACTTCCACCTTTAGGATGGCTGGGAAAATAAACAGAGTGGGAACACTGCCAGAGGGGGACACTGGAGAGGCCGCCGTGGGCTGAGGACTTCCGGTGTGAGACCTCAGTTAACACATCCCAGCTCCATGCCAGGGAGGCAGGGCATGAGCAGCTACACATGCAGAGATGGGAGGCTGAGCCCTGTGCAAAGGAGCCAGGGGCACAGCACCCTGTCTTGGAGCCTGGCTCCTCCCAGGGTGACGCAGCCACTGCATAATGGGCAGATTCCCTCCAGTGGGTACTGTGCACCCGCTGATTCAGAGAACTTTAACAACAGACAGAGCAGAACAAATACCTTAAAACAAATGCGAAACAGAAGATCTGGAAACGCACAGGACCGGACTAACCCCACAGAGGTTTGAACCGCGCAGGACTGGTACACGTGTTTGTAAATCCTCTTGTGTTTTTCTAAGTTTCTGTGATGCTAACATGCTGATTTTGTAATAATGACAGAACTACCTTTGTAACAGAATTCACCAGCTACAACCACGGCTCAGCTCCAAGCTTGTGAACGTCTAACACACTGTGGCACACTTGTCCCCCCAAACCATGAGACTGAGGGCATTGATGCAAATGAACCACAGCGCAGTCATGGGAAAAGCAAACAGCTGCTGAATGATTCTATATAAAAGAATAAAGGACTTTTTATATTTTATTTATTATTTTATATGCATGAGTGTACTACCTGCATGTATGTAAGTATGCCCATGTCATGCAACGCCTGCAGAGGTCAGAAGAGGGTGTCAGAGCCCCTGGAACTGGAGTTACAGATGGCTGTTAGCCACCATGTGGGTTCTTGGAATCGAACCTGGATCCTCTGCGAGAGCAGACAGTGCCCTTAACTGCTGAGCCATCTCTCCAGCCAAATAAAATGCTTAAAAGTTTGCATAGGTCTCTATTGATTTCCATCCTCAGGACAAGTTATAGAACACGGGACTTACCCTTCCTTTACTCACATGTGGTTCAACAGTGCTGAACACATGCTGTTCCACATTCACTACCATCCACCTCCAGAACTTTCCATTTCCCAAAGGGCAGGTCAGTCCCCAGCAGATAACCAACTCCCTGCCCCCACGCCAGTATTACTTTCTGCCTCTGTGCTTAACTCTAGGGACCTCATCTTGGTGGAATCTTACAGTATTTGTGCTTTTACGTGTGAACTCATGTTCTCATTCATGTTGAGGGATGTGTCAGAATTTTCTTCCTTTATGAGGCTCAGTAATATTCCACTGTTCACATGCACCATCCACATAGCCTGGGCAGCTTCTCTGTTTATATGTTGTGAATGACACTGTTATAAACAGGATGCACAAACACTACATGTCCACAGCTTTTGATTGCGTCTACGTCTGCAGTTGGATTTAAGGAGTGGAATTTTTTTTAATTAAAAAAAAATTTTTATGTGTATGCATGCATTGCCTGCATGTATGTGAGTGCACCCGTGTTGTGCAATGCCCACAGAGGACAGTAGAGGTTGTCGGCTGTCAGATCCCCTGGAACTGGAGTTACAGACAGTTGTTAGCTGCCATGTGGGTGCTGGAATTCGAACCTGGGTCTTCTGCAAGAACAACCAGTTTCTTAACCGCTGAGCCATCTCTCCAGCCCCAAGGAGTGGAATTTTATGGCCCATTTCCAAGGCTGCTTTTCTGGCACTATGAAAACCTTTAAAACTAGGCTGCTGTAATGTCTGCACATCTGATCCTACTAAGCACATCTGTTCCTACTATGCACATCTGATCATACTATGCACATCTGATCCTACTATGCACATCTGTTCCTACTATGCACATCTGATCCTACTATGCACATCTGATCCTACTATGCACATCTGTTCCTACTATGCACATCTGATCCTACTATGCACATCTGATTCTACTATGCACATCTGTTCCTACTATGCACATCTGATCCTACTATGCACATCTGATCCTATTATGCACATCTGTTCCTACTATGCACAATCTGATCCTAGTATGCACATCTGATCCTACTATGCACTCTGCTCCCCTTTGTACTTGGAAGTTTCGGAAAACAACAGCAGCTGCCCAGTCCTCCCAGAAGTACAGTACTTATCTGTCACTAGCAGAGACAAAGCTTGCTGTCCAAGCAGGAAGGTTGGGTCCTCAGTTTCTTCCCTACAAAGTGGACACAGCCCCACCTGCCTCCAGGCCCTGTCACTATGCAGCTGAGGATGACCTTGAACTTCTGATTCTCCTGCCTCCATCTCTCCAGAGCTGGGATTACAGGTGTGAATTTTATGCGGAGGCTGAGGTGTGTGCTCTAAACCAACCCATGGCTTCATGCATGCTGGGCAAGCACACTACCAATGGAGCCGCATCCCTGGTCCCCACAGAGGTGCACACACAGGTATTGGTGCTCTAGTCCCTTGCAAGGCTGAATAATATTCCTTCATATGTAGACTTTTTGCTTTGTTTTATTTGTTATTTGAGACAGGGTCTCCCTATAGCCCCAACTGGCCTGGAACTTGGCCAGGCTGGCCTCGATCTCAGATTCACCTGCCTCTACCGCCCAAGTGCTGGGATCAAAGGTGTGCGCCAGCTCCTGCCGACTTTTTAAAATCCATCCATCTAATGAGGGGTTGACTATGGAATAACAAGTTCTGTCTTTTCCGTAGTTCTGAAACAACACAGTCGCCCAGCCCCAACTTGAGATTCACTTCAGTCTGTAGGGAAAGGCGGCACCCAGCTCACCTTCTCCTGTGCTGACTTGAGCATGCTGGAGACTTCCCCAACTGCCAGCTGCAAGGGCTTCGGCTGTGGGTCCTGCTGGAAGGAGAGTCGCAGCGGGCCCTGGAAGACAGAAGCTGTGTGAGGCAAAAGGCACAAGGGCAGCCTTGGTTTTACTTGTCTGTTTTTAAATTACACACTTTCTACACAACTGCAAATTTAAGAAAACATAACAGAGCATCCCAGCAATGATTAAACATCAGTGGGCTTACACCTGAGATTAAACTGATGCTGGATCTTGCTCAGCACTAGGCAGGCAGAACCCTGTGGCGGGGGAGGGATAGAGAAGGCGTGGGGCACAGGAATAGACCCCCGAGATGGAGCCATGAAGCTTCAAAGGGTGTGCTGAGCCCTAAGGTCCAAGTTCTGGGAGAAGCTCAACCTCAGGGCGGGCTCCAGGTGCACCTCAGCGACTGGCAAGTGGACGGCTAGCCTGCTCAGCAGCACCCTCCCCTTGCTAGTAAACTGCTCTTCTCCGGGTGGAGGGAATCACCTCTCCTGCCCCATGAACTTGAAGTGCCCCTTCTCCTCTCCCACTGCTGGGCAGGAAGGACCTTAGGGCCTGGCTTCTCTCTGGGACTTGAGGTGACACACAAGACTCCTGGGCTGAAAAGGAGGCGGTCTGATGGCTATGACCCTGGCCCTTGCTTCACAGCCCTCCAGAGTTGGCTGTTCCCTGTTGCCTGGCTGCTCGGCTCAACTCTCACTGCCGCGCATTCTCCAGTAAACCCTTCTGTGGATGCAGCTCACATCACTGTATTGTTTTCTTTTTTATTATTTTTATTTTTGTGTGTTTATGTGTGTATACATATATGTGTGTCTGTATAGTGCAGGTGCATGTTTGCACAATGAGGTCAGAGGGCAGTCTTGGGTGTTGGTCCGCACCTTGCACCTTGTTGGAGTCAGTCTCTGCATACACCAGGCTCGCTGGCTCACAGGGGTTTCCCTGTCTCTGCCTCCCATCTTGCAGAATGAGCACAGACACACATATCACACCTGGCTTTTATGTGGGTTCTGTGGATTTAAACTCGGATCCTCATGCTTGTGTGGCAAGTGCTTTACACACCAAGTCATCTCCCTAGTCCTCAGGGTTTTTTTTTGGGGGGGGGTTCTTGTTATTTAAAAATCTCAAAGTGAGGAGTGGAGATGTATCTCAGTTGGTAAAATGCTTATCAGCATGTATGAGAAGTTTATTAGAGAATGTGTGGGGCTCAAAGTTGAACCATGTGGCCAGGCAACAGGTTCTATCCTCACTACTGTGTAAACCAGGCATGGGGTACATACCTGCAATACCAGCACTTGGTAGGTAGAGGCAGAAAGATCAAGAGTTCAAGGCTATCCTTGGCTACATACTGAGTTTGAGGCCAGCCTGGGTTACATGAGACCCTGTCTTAGAAAAGAAATTCTCCAAATGAGAGATGTTCTATTAAATTAATATGACTACAAGGCAACAAGATTGATGCTTTATATAAAAGCAAATGTGTGGGGCTGGAGGAATGGTTCAGCAGTTAAGAGCACTTGCTGTTCTTCCAGAGGACCTAGGTTCAGTTCCCAGCACCCACATGATGGCCAGCAACAGTAACTCCAGGTCTGATGCCCTCTCTGGCCTCTGCAGGCATTGTACATATGTGGTACACTTACATGCAGGCAAAACATTGACACATAACATAAAAAAATTTTCAGCCAGCCAAGGCCTGTCCTCTCACAAATGAGTTCTCTGGAAAGCCCCAGCTGGCATGTGAAGATGAACCTGGAAAGACAGTCTTCTTTAACTCTTTCCTGCCAGAGCCCTTCCTGTTCTGATGGGGTGGCTAGAAACTGCAATCTTGTGTGTGTCCTCTAGTTTGGGGACTCCATAGTGATGAGCTAGTTCCCAATATGGGTGGGAAACAGAGTCGGTGTGCCGGGGCCAGAGCCGCTCTGGCAGGCACAGCACAGATCAACAGTGATGTGATCCACTTGCTATTTCTTTAGACTCCCCAGTGATCAAGGGCTAGCATAAAAGATCATTTTGATTTAGGGCTTCTAACCTCACCCTGTTCTGGCAGCGTCTACCCCATCCCAGAAACATCAAGGAGGATGAAATCGACATCTCAGGAGGGATGAAGTCACCGTCTCTGGGCTGCATCGGCAGCTAGCTTTAGTGTGGACAGCTGGCCAGGGACCCCGTGAACTGCCCTGTGAGCTGACAATGTGACACTGAGGCCTGTGCCAGCCAGGCAGCATAAGCAGGGTGCCCAGTGGCTGGGATGAGCCTGAGGTAAAGAGCACCAGAGAAAGAAGCCTAGAGGCACAGGGCCTTTAATGTCATGGGGTGCTCCGACAAAGCAGATTCATTTTAAGTTAAAATAAGGTCAGGGAGATTGTCTTAGCACTTCTAGTCCACCTGCCTATGGGGACTCGGGAGCGGAGCCCACAGCACCCAACCAACTCCCACATGTCCATGGTTTTGCTCGGGCTCAGCAGCAGCATGGCCACCCTGCCCAGATGGGAAGGCTGCTCACACATGAGAAAAGACAAATGAAGGAACTGCCAGGACACTGAAAATGAGAACTCAGGTGGAGGGCTAGCCCCTCGGACACCAACCACACTACAGAGACTCCAGGATTAAAGCTCTGGCTCTGGGCAGTGAGGGGGGAAAAAAAAGTCCAGAACAGACCAAATGCACATGGATGTGTTAAGCTGAACATCCCTAATGTGAAAATTCAAAGTCCTCCAAAATGTGAAGCTTTTTTGAGTATTTACATAGGGCATAAGTAGAAAATTCCTCACCACAAAGCTCTGTTTAGACCACAAAACTGTTTAGAAATCAGTCATCAGTCTTGGTGGTATAAGCATCCTTACCCACAGAGCCATCCTGCCAGTTTGGTTTATTTTTAACACTTTGCTATTTATTTTTACATGTATTTATTTGGTGTGCATATGGAGGGATGTGCATGCCAGGGCACACATGTGGAGGTCAGACGACAACTTGCAGGAGTTGGTTCTCTCCTTCCACCATATGGATTCCAGGAAAACTCAGGTCATCAGGCTTAGCGACAAGCACCTTCAACTGCTAAGCCATCTAGCTGGGCTTCCCCAACTTTTTCTTCAAAAGTGGAAGACACAGGATAGAAAAACCAGTAACATGGAAATCCAACATGACACATAAATGACAAAAGCACCTGACGTGGTAGGAGGGTGGATTTGAACTAAGAACATCAGGTCATCCTGACTACATCAGAGATTGTGATCCAGCAACGTGTTTCCACGCAGTTAGCAATGTGTGGACTCGAACCGGTCAAACAGGGAAACTGAAAGCGAGGAAGAAGGGGGGGGCTCAGTGGGAAAGCACTTACTGTGTGATCCTTAGAACCCAAAGAAAAGTCAGAGTGATGGCACATGTTTGTAATCCCAGCGCTTGGGGGTGGGGGTGGACAGAGAGGCAGATCCCTGAGGCTCACCGGCCAGCCAGCCTAGCCTACATGGTAAGTTCCAGGCCAATGAGGAACCCTGTCTTCAAAAACAATGTAGATGGCATGTGAGGAATGACAGTCTGTCCTCTGGCTTATACACACATAGATGTGCACATGTACACACATGTGCACACACAGGTACACACACGTGAGGGAGAGAGGAGGCTAAGGTGAACCTACGTTGTTGAACTGGAATGCAAAGTACTGTTATACATTCGTGATTTGGAAGCTAAATACTGACAGATAGGAAAACACAGGTGTGCATATGTGTATGCATATAGACACACAGTTCTGCTGAAGCTCTGTCCATTGGAAGGTTCCAGAACACTGGGAGCTGAGCGTGGTGCACATACCCAAGTCTTACATCTTGAACTCTCCAATAAATAGAATCAACTTTGCTCAGAGGCCAGAGGAGGAGAAAACGTGAGACAAACCACAAATACACACAAACACACCCTGGTAGAACCACAAAGCAAGGAAGAAAACACGGTGTGGGCTGACAAGAGCACAGCTGGCTGGAGAAGCTTGCAGGGCCAAAACCAGCGACAAAGTGAGTAGTGATGGTACTAGATTATAACCCACAGAGTAAAAACAACCACGAGTCCTCGCTGACATAAACAGCCAGCTAAATATATAGGACTAAACCTTTTCTCTCAGTAGAGCTCCAATGATAATCTACAGAAGGAAACGGAAAATCACCATGAAGTTTCGAAACTCATCTAATTCATTGTTACAGCTGAGCCACACTGAGGGGTGCTAGATTGACAGAGTCAAAGTTCCAGGAGGCATCTCTCAACATGTAGACACCTGTTAACTAGAGGGGGACAGGTGGGGACTGAAAGCACAGAACCACCTTGCCAGAGGGGCCAAGACTGGCATTCCCAGTAAGACGCTAGCTACACCGAAACCACGGGCTCCCCAATACAGGTCAGTAATGGGGTCCTGTATGTGTGACAGCACAATCTCCACCCGATAGTGGGAAAAACAGACAGGCTTTGAGCAAAATAACAATCAACATGCCATCAAGGCCATAAACAAGAAGATGAAAAACCATTACAGACTGAGGGAGACTGAAAAGCACCAAGTAAATGTCATGGAGGACCGGGAAGGCCCGGAAGGGGGGGGTGACCTGAACATGACATGCATAGAGGTCAGTGAGATTCAAGTAAGGCTTTCAGTTTCAGTTATTAAAAGTACAATGACACTGTTAATGTCTTGTTCTATTACAATGTCAACTTCACTGAGTTATGGATGACTGAAACATTGTACCCAGGCTAACTCTGCTCCATTACAATGTTACTTTCATTGAGTGTTGGATGATAGAAACATTGTACCCAGGCTAACTCTTTGTTCCATTAAAATGTTACTTTCATTGAGTGATAGATGATAGAAACATTGTATCCAGGCTAACTCCTTGCTTTGTTACAATGTTACTTTCATTGAGTGATAGATGACAGAAACATTGTATCCAGGCTAACTCCTTGCTTTGTTACAATGTGACTTTCATTGAGTTATGGGTGACAGAAACATTGTATCCAGGCTAACTCCTTGCTCTGTTACAATATTAGTTCCTCTATGCTCTGAGTTACCACAACATATACCAACAGCAATTTTCGTTCTGATGGTTGAGTTATAGTTCTAGAAGGCTGGATGAAGAATACATGGAAATTCTTCTGATTATTTTTTCAATTTTTCTGTAAATCTGAAAGCAATTCAAAATAAAGTTTAAAAAAAAAACAGCAATCTTACTGACTTATAGGCCAGATTCTTTGCTAACAGCTTTATAAGATCTCTACAGCATCAATCTCCTCCTGTAGCAGTCAAGACTGGCCCAGGGTCACACTGAGAGTGAACCGGAGGCTGAGATCAAGCCCCAGCGGTCTCCCATAGGCTGGCCTCACAGATCTTCCACACTGCTGAAGAAGCCCCTCCCCTCCTCAGCAACCTGCAGAGGTAGGACTGAAGTAGCTTCGGCTGAATTTTGGTTGGCCTGGACACTATACCCCGTCTTTCCTGAATTGCTCAGAGCACGGCTGAGTGCAAAATGCAGTTCCACTGGTGCCTGTCCTGGGCTTCGAGCTGCGGATCTGCACAGTCACCCAGCAGCCTCCTTTGGTGACGATACTTCGGAAGGGAAAAACAAGGCACATTAAATAGCCCATTCTGCCTGAGGCCTGGATGGCTCCCAAGCCAGAGGCCAGCATCCAGATGGCATCCTTTGTGTGGCTACTGCCTCCCCCCCCGCCCCGGCCTGCCATTCACCCCTCATGACCAGGGCATGCTCCCAGCCACTCTGGAGCTGGGCATAAGGTCCAGCTGTCTGGATAGACCTGCACTCAGCCCTAGCTCACATGGAGAGAGCAGATCAGGCACAAGGGAGGGATGACTGGAAACAAGGGCAGGATGAGGGCAGGGCAGCGTCCTTGCAGAGTGGGAGCCCAGATCTGAGGGGTTTCAGAAAGTTAAAAACAAGACGGGGAAGCATAGCAAGCAACTCTGGAAGGCCCCACAGGAAGGCCCTGGATGGGAGAGACATGAAAGTCTGAGGCACAGAATGGGGGAGGGCATGGCAGAGGGTGATGCCGCCCCCACAAGCCCACTTTCCTTCTCAGGGGAGGGACAGGCTGACGCATGGCCCTTACTTGGGGCTGCTGTCACTGTCTCACTACCAGACTGTCATGTACCCTGTCATTGTTTTTTATTTTTTGTATGCACAACTGGAAGGCTGTCAGATCCTGGGAAGACGCTACAGGCTGCGGCTACTCTGTTGACATGCAAGCTGCAGACATGTACTCAGACAAATCAGAGTCATTCGGAACACATCCTAAGTTCACACAAACTTCCCCTCACTCAAACTGTAAACTGTCTGATGGTCTTAGTCACTTGAATGAGAACATTCCTCTGAAGAAATCCTGGGTTGAAGGACTAGAGAAATGAACGGGTCTGGAGACCCTCCTGATCGAGAGCCACTGCCTGTTCTGTCCAGCTGTGCTAGGGGTGGGGAGGGAGCACCAGACAAGCCCATCACATCAGCTGCAGATACGGAGCTCTGGAGCCAGCACCTGCTCCATGGAGCATCAGTGTGGAGAGGAAGCCCTGTGACCACAGGTGAGACTGCCTGCTACCAGCAGCTAGCGTCAGAGCTGGCGCTGTGAAAACAGACATGGGGGGGCGGCTCTCAGGTGTAGTCAGGGTGTGGGCCATCACTAGTGTAACACATCATTATCATGAGCCAAAGTGTTCATGTGACTGCTGGTCAGTGACACAGCAACTCCAAGTAGTCCATCAATGGAGATCAGTGTTTGTAATGTCAGTCAGTGGAGACGTGAGACTATATTAAGCCATGTGGAGGTGGTGCTGGGTGCAGCAGGACCTCTGACTGACAGCTGGCTTAGGAATGATAGAAATGATGATAGGTGTGCACGGCGGCTTCCCACTCAGGGAGGGAGGAAAGTAATAGGTGCTCCCTACCCTTCAGCCAGCCCAAGCCTTCCCTGTGAATGTGGTTCTGGATGAGGAAGCAGGTATGTGTATTTCTAACAACCCCCACGCTCTGGGCACACCTGAAGACTGCCAACCAGATCAACAATAGTTTCCTCTCCTGTCTGTCCAACTTGCCATCCTGTACAATGCAGAACTACTTCTGGAGTGAGCGTTGGCGTTCAGGTCCCCCTGGCACAGGCAGCTTGTATTTCTACTGTTATCAGAGCACAGAGAAGCTTCGGAAAGGCATCGCTCAGAGCTCAGGTCTCAGGGGTTCGGGCACATTGCTCAGGGTGAGACACCACATGGCCAGACCCCCTCTAGTCCATTTCACTGGACCACATTCAAAAGAAGCACTTGGGGCTCAGGGATGAATTTGCTTCCCACAGGGAGCATGGCTACAGCAGAGACAGGATCATGGAGAAGTCAGACCAGGTTGGAGGCATGGGAGGGGTCACTGTTTCCACTTGGCAGAAAATTCCACTTCTTATGGAAGATGCTAGATACAATCTAGTTATTACCAGCGTCTCTCCACTCTACTCCACAGTGACAGTCCAAGTATGGGCTGCCTCCCTGACTGGGGCAAAGTAATGTCAGGACAGTGTGGGGGTAGGGGGCCTCTAAGCTGTGTCTAGAGAAGCCTGGGAATGCCAGCCCTAATCAGGGATTAGTGGAAAGCCAGGTGGGGGGGAGGGCGGAGAGAAACTCCTGGGGGCGTGGCCATAGAGTTCCCACTAGCACAAACAGCAGCACCTGTTCACAGATCACACTGTTACAATGTCGATGGCCCAGGACACTGGCAAAAAGGCAAGGCACTGAGATCCCATCTGCCTACGAACCCCTCCGTGTGGGTTCACATCAACCAGCACTCCCAGGTACTAGGCTGAGTGATTCTCTAACAAGCTTCTCTGCCACTTGGAGCTCGAATCAAGTACAATACTGGCACTTCCAGGCAGGAGCTTGGGACAGACTGCTATCCAAGACTTCAGAACCTGGCCAGGCACACAGGGAGAGCATGGCCAAGCAAGCTCCTTCCATCCCCGAACAGCAGGGCTGGGCTGGAGGTGGGAGGCCTCCCCCACAAGTATTTTCTTGGTTTTCTCAGACTCACTTGCCCAACCAAGACTAGTGCTTCAGAAGCTTCTTCGTCTCTTTAGCACTCCAGGCACAAGGGACCCTGGGAGCACCGTATCTAGGGTGATCAGGCTTTGGGAAAGCAACCAAGAAATGCCAGGAAATGAAGCCAGCCATCCTAAGTTCACGGAAGGAAGGGACACTGCCTCTGGGCCACCAGTGTCCACATCCTACAGATCATTAACCAGCATGCCCGCTGATACCACAGAGAAAGGGAACAAAACTCAGTCTGCTCAGGCCACCAGTCCACAGAGGACTGGCAAGCATCAGGCCTGTAACACCAGGTCAGCGGGATTCGGCAACAGCAGCTTCATGAGGGGTGGGGGGAGCGTTGCTCCTAGGCATGAGGACACTGAGTTTGAAGGCTGACCCTGGGTAGAGAGGTCCAGCTCTTGGCAACTGGGCACCAATTCTAGGCACTGTGACAGATGTAAACTGACCTGCAGTCTTTGTATCTAAAAATCCTTTTCCAACAGTCCAAAACAAAGTCTCTTGGATTATTGGATTCATGTTAATTTACACTCAAAAAAGCTTCTCTCCTCTCTCTCTCTCTCTCTCTCTCTCTCTCTCTCTCTCTCTCTCTCTCTCTCGCTCTGTGGTCACCATATGTGCTAAGGCTATGGCACAAAAATCAGGCTCAGTGCCCACTGTGGAATATTCTGAAGGTGGACGGGTTCAGCCACGGAGTATTTGCTGTTTCCAAGGCTGGTAGTGTGGGGCTTTACAGAGCTGGGCAGCTGTGTACAGGTCAAGAGCCTGTACAGCTGAGAGGGAGGGGCAGCTGCAGGGTTGACAGGTGCCACCTCCAGCCCACCAGGCTCTTAATTCCCCCTGTGAAATGTCTCCAAACAGTAGACGCCAGGAACCATATTGTTAAACTAAGATCTCTTAGAAGTCAAAATAAGTTACCAAGTAATTAACAATGAAAGAGTGTGAGCCACAAGGCTGGGTAACAGCCTGAGGGTGTGAGGTCAGCTCAGCTGGCTTCACATCCTGGCTCTGACACCAAAGGTGGTGGGACTTTAACCTCAGGCCTCGGTTTCCCCACCTCTTCAGTGGTGAGGCTGCCTGTGCTGAATCAGGGGTGTGACACAGCACTCAAGTCCCCAGCACCCTGGATCTAAACAAATGGTCACTAGTTTTTTTTTTTTTTTTAATGCGCTCAGGAACGCAAGCCTTTTAGAATTTGGAAGCTCTTGGCACAGCCCAACTGATCCGAAAAGGGAGCATATTTGAATCACAGTCACCCATTTATCAGGCAGCAAGATCACTAAGTGTCCACTTGAAACCCACCAGGGCGTCCGGGAAGGACGGTGGGCTGGAAGGGCTCCGTCCCTCTGAGCGGCTGTCCAAAGCCCGGGGGAGCCACAGCGTCCGGTGTGTGAAACCGAATCTCGTTGCTCTGACTCCCCATCGCGGGTCCCAGGTCCTTCTGACCTCAAGGATGCACCGCCCGGGACGGCGGAGGGCGGCGGGTCGGGGGCTGCGGCGGCGTCCAGTGCGCAGGGCGCTCCCCGCCCCCAAGGGCTCCGTCCCTCTGAGCGGCTGTCCAAAGCCCGGGGGAGCCACAGCGTCCGGTGTGTGAAACCGAATCTCGTTGCTCTGACTCCCCATCGCGGGTCCCAGGTCCTTCTGACCTCAAGGATGCACCGCCCGGGACGGCGGAGGGCGGCGGGTCGGGGGCTGCGGCGGCGTCCAGTGCGCAGGGCGCTCCCCGCCCCCATCGCCTCTCGGCCTCCTCGTTCAGCGCGGCCACCCAGGCCGCCCGCCACCGGCTCCCCCAGCTGTCCAGCGTCAGGATCCAGGACAGCACCGCGTCCGACTCCCGGCGCCGCCGCCCGTCCGGCTCCGCCCGCCGCCGGGGAGGGGGTCGCGCCCCGGCCAGCGCCCACTGCGCCAGGTACAGGCCGACCGTGCCCAGGGCCGCCACGAAGAGCGACACCAGG